TAACATATTGTTTGTCAAATCAAAAACAGAAGTAAAAGTAACCATCGTAGGACGAAGAATAACAACACGGAATGAATCGTAAGGTGCTAAAATGGCTTTTGTCTAAAATCTACTTTCTTACTTTTAGTGCCAACCACAGCAGTACCTCTACCAACATCAGGTAAATTGATAAAAAACACATAATCGTTAAGTCTGGATCATAAGCTCTTGATTAAGAGTACTGTGAAGGTTTGCAAGGGAAAGGTTCGAGCGCTCTATTCTGGGGGAGATTATATACGATAAGAGCGCCTTCGTTTCGAAGTAAGTTGAAAGGAAATACACTTCCCACAAACAAAATTTTTCAGGGTTTTCTCTCGTTGTAACCGTTACTGCAACATAGCGTAATGTGCATGAGAAAAAAGTTACAACTTAGATTACAATGGCAGGGTTCTACACTCAGTATTTATATCATTTTTATTTGCTTGACCATATCAACGAGTCAAGCAAAGTAAGTAGGACTTATATCGGGGGGGGGAGAGAAAAAGAGGCTCACAGGTCAGGTTATTTTCATCTGTGCAGGGCGGATTCAACAAGCGTGAAGCGTTCTCCCAGAATCGAACGAGACGCATGGAAGTAATGGAGGAGAGCCATCTCAGCAGAATTCACCAACATTATTTATTTATCACATTTCCTTGTAGCTTTTCTTTATTTGCCGGCGATTGCAGTGCTCTTTGATCTATACATGCAGCTTGAACTGATGGAATTCAAAACGTTATCCTTTTATGCTCTTTACTAACTGTTTCTTAACTTTGCTTTTCTCAGCGGTCATGCCCCTCAGTGACCCAGGTTGGTTCATTCTCCGTCGATGATTAGTGCTGGTCCATAGCAGGACGTAGATCGTCAAGACCTGTATAATGCGCTTTACAAATTCCGTTTTTTCTTTTGGAGTATGAATGCTTAAGCACGGTTTTAAATGGAGCAGACCTTAGACAATAAGCGCCTTATAACTTGTGCATGCTCGCACTGGAGAAGTCGGGGAATTATTAGCATTCAAAGCAATGGTGTCTAAGTTTAAGTAAATTGGAATTCTTTACACGTTAACATCATTATTCAAGTTCCACATACTGTTCTCTGTACTCGTCCTATGTACTTACAAGGAGAGTTTGTCAAACAATCAAAAGCTTCTCGAGTTTGCGATCATTTCCTTTATTCTCATAACTTCAATGTTTGTTCCAGGGGTGATAACTTTGGGAGAAATTGGATGCTTATCATTTTTAGTAATTGAGTTTGTGTCTTTAGTTCCCACCGAACGTTGGCTCAGGCACTGAACGGGAAAATATTCCGGGACTGGGTTCGGCGTTGTTACTTTAGATTGTGACCGTATGACAATGTGATTTATGATCATTTTCTTCTTTTACAGAGGTCATTGTTAAATGTGGTCAAAATGAGATGTCCATCAGCATTCCAAAAACCTTTCTACACGGCCTGGACGTGGAACATATCCGTCTTTCAGATAAAAACTGTGGAGCCACAGAGAACCCAGCTCGCGACCGCTACATTCTTCGGACAAAACTAACGGAATGCCAAACAAAAAGCAGGCACACCAAGAATTTCGTGAGTTACACGAACAAGGTGGAGGAAATTCCCGTGGAGAATGAGCAGATAATCAGAAGAATCCGTGAGGTGGAAATACCCTTCAGCTGTTACTTCTCAAACACAGGTGTCGTATCCGCTGTTGGTCTGGAGGTGACGAGCAAGAAGATCGTTTTCTCCGAGAAAGGATTTGGAGAATTCGCTCTAGAGATGAAGATTTTTCCAGATGACAAATTTCTAGGTTCCTACCAAAAGAAAGAGTTTCCAGTAACCCTACCCTTGAGAAAAAAACTGTTTGTGGAAGTCAGGGTGGATACAAAAGATGCAAGGCTTGGGATTTTAGCAGAAACGTGTTTTGCCACACCTGATCCCGACCCCAATAAACCTGGATTAAAATTCGTGTTCATCGAAAATGGGTATGGAAACAACTTGTTTCAAATCACTTCTTTATTCTATTATTTTCTTCACTCCAAAACTTAAGCTTTATAGCTTACTATGAACTCGAAGTATTGAAAAGAACCTTCCTTTTACTGAAGCATAAGACGCACTAATTGGCAAGGCAAATATATTAAAAGACGGTGATCTTAAAACAGCTTGGACCGACGAACTGGTATCTTTAAAATTACATAAAGTATTTAATCTAATAAAGTGTTTATCAGCTTTTTAAAACAAAGAGGATTCCAAAATTTCTCGGAATGAAAAAATCCACTTTAAAACGGCCTCGAATTAGACTAAGACTTCCTCGTTTATAACGGGGAACCATTTCATCGCATCATGATCATTGCATCATCGCAGCCTTATCTTATCGTCCGTTAACAATACTAAATGTAACCTTAAGGAGAATTAATGTGACTTCCTTTGCAGGTGTTCTGATGACGAAACCTTGGATTTTATTCCACCAAGTAATGAAAGATATGAGAGGTTTAGCTTGGAAGCGTTCAAGTTCTTGGGTGATCACCAGTTTGTGTACATGCACTGCAAAGTCAAGATATGTAGCGCAAACGATCCAAACTCACGCTGTGCTCAGGGCTGTCTGCGTAACTCCAAACAAAGGAGGTCGCTGTACACTCAGGAAACAAATGACGAGGAGTATCTCTTAGCTCAGGGACCGTTTATACGGAAAGTTGACACTGAAGACATTCAACTTGAAGAAACTGAAAAAGAATGGCGCGGTTTTGACGGAAAAGGTTAGTTTAAATTGCAGGCAAAATCACAACTCAAATTACAGTCTAGCACCTAGCAGTCTAGGCATTACCTTCGCATGACCGCTGTCTATACACGGTAAATTTGACGCTTTCTGTAAAATTGGAACACTAAAGATGCTTTATTCATCCTTGTCACTAAGACCGAGCGACCTCGATTGGACTGCCAGCCCTTCTTCAAGGAAATAAGACGACCGTCTGAACCAAACAAAACAGAACAAAATAAAAGGTTCCCTTGCTTTTGAAGTCAATACACCTCAATAAAAAAAGCTGGCCCCTTGTGGATGTGACAAGAACTGCATGAGGCATCGGTAGAATGTTTTATTAAATCCTTCTACGATGGATCGAACTATTTAAAGCTCGCCTAGCAAACATTTTGACCTCTGACAACCTAAAATGTCCATCATGTCTCATCATAAGTTTGCCAGTGACTTTATTTTTTTATACTTGTTTTGCAGGCCAGGGTAAGTTTGCCACTGCTACATTGGTTGCGGTGGCGGCTGCCTGTCTCATGGGTATCTCATACTTTATGCATCAGAGGAGGAAGAAGAGTCGGAGCCAAGTATACCATCCCAAAGCTATCCCTGTCTCCTAAACGATTTGCTGACGAAGGCCATATTGCATGATAACATTTGAATAAGTCAGAATTTTGAAAAATATCAATTTATCCAAAGTTGAGGATGTAGTCCAGTCGTCCAGGTTAAAGAACTCCGGCAAAGGACTCGGATGTTAATAACTGACGTTTCGACGACCTGAGCGGATGGCTTCGTTCGAGTAAACCTCAACTCGGAAAACATTATGCAAGTCTCGCCAGAGATACATAGAAAAGAAACTGAAATAACGGGCATTTTAAGAGAAAAGAGGTACCTTTTGTTGCGATGTGAATGTCACCTTACGTCTTGTCATTCCATAGGCTTACAGTAGTTGAATGACGGTTTCAATATAGACCTTACACTATGCTCTGTATGTTGGTATCGAGACAAATGAAATATTAGTTTAATTTTGTCATGTGAAGTGGTATAATCTACGTTTTGAAAACAAAACACTCAACGTCTGTTCTGTTAATGTGTGTGGGCACGAAAACGTTGGAGCAAAAAAAGAATCAAATTAGAAAGGGAAAATTTTCCAAAGAAAGAAAAAGAAAAACTGCCAACTAGTCTTCCAGAATATTTACAAGCAAGTGGCATTTCAAGTAGAGCTTTGTCCTATTCACAATACATCGAACAATTTTAAGAGTTCTCATCCCCTGACCTGCAAAATTTCTACCGATAGTAAAACTGGCATCGCAGTTCCTGATTGTTGACACTGCGCGAGTGACTAATTTTAAAAATAGCCCACATAAACAAAAGCGAGTCCTTTGTCACCGAAGAGAGCATTCAGTTAATCAATAAGTTCTTTAATCCCTGTGGCAAACAATTTGCTACAGGGATTTGCTATAATAGTGAAAGCCGAGTTCATTTCTTGTTCACAAAACAGATGTATTGCGATGGGAATGTTACTCCTTCAATTATATTGACCAACGCCAGTATACGCTCTATATCTTCCCAGCTGTACGTGAAACAGTTTAATCAGCCTTAGTTCATGGTTACCACAATGCTTAGTGGTAACCAAAAAAAATTAAGCTTTGTGTCGAGATAATTCCAAATTCAAGTTCAAATTGCACTAACTTCTTCAGTGAACCTGTGTGAAACGGAAACAACTACAGAGTGTTTTATTTTGTTCCACTGCCATACAGTCTGTTCCATTTAATGTACAAATCGAGATCTTTCTCGGAGACACTGGCGCGTACTTGATGTAAAGCCTCGTCAAAGTCTTTAAAGAGAATCGGTCGAACCTGGAAACAACAGAACAAGTTTACTTCATGGACTAATTTGGAAGCAAGAATTACCTTAGGAAAGCAGGGTATGTTTGATGGAAGAATTCAAGCAAGTCGAATTCTCGTTTAACCAAATAAATTCAATATCTGTACAGAGATCTGTAATTGGCTTATTACTAAAGACGGCAAAGGCAACCCAGTCCAAATGACTCCACTGACATCTAACCATTGACTTAGTCTTTTGTTTAAGACTGTGTTGAGGTATCTAAAAATCACCCTGCCAATGATTTTTCGTGTACAGCAGTGCGTAGGATGCTTGTCAAATATGGAGTAAGTGTATGTCCTGGCTCACCATTAGGTTCTCTGTCGTTCAGACGGTGGACCATTTAACCACCAAATTTGAACTAGTTAGGATTCAAATCCTCTTGGAGTACTCAGATTGTTCTTTATTCCAAGCTAGTGACAAATGTTTAAAAGCGTTCGTTGTCTATCGCTGTGTAGCCCATGCTGCGTTAAGGGAGAGCTAATGATGACTTGGTATAATGAAATTACTGAGTGCTACATGAAATGCAATTCATGAACATGAGGGGTGGAAAAGGATGGGACGGGCACCATTCATGCTAAAACGAAGGATTTAATTCACACCTGATCAGCGTCAATAAACTCAATATCAGTAATACTTCTGATTGGTCCAAGGGCAGCTTCCCGACAAAGATTCGCCATATCTGAGCCCGAATATCCTAAAATAGAGCGCATCATATGATCTAAAGGTCAGTAAAGTATTTCGAGATAGGAATTCGTAAATGGGATGCAAAAAGACCATTTACTGAAGTGTAGACGGGAAGACAGCTGATTTCGTACGCCTTCGAGCTTATAGGTTGTCTTTCATTTACAATGTCCTTTTCAACGGGCAAGTCCAGTCTACTTTACCACAGACCAAAATTGAATCAACGTTTTCGAACTACTATGAAACGTTTCTTTTGTTAAGGGTATCTCTTGCTTCTTTTATCTCAAAATATCTCCTTTAAATCGTGTTCATAGTCTTTCACCCAGAACACTAAAATTCGGTCTCAACTTCGCAAGTGTTCTCTCAGGAAACGAGATTACGTCGGATGTTTAACACATTAACCATTCTTGTATTACACACAGTCTACAAACACATACGGTACCATGTGTGTGCTGAACTATGGTGTTGACGTCTTCTTGAGAGAGACTACATTTCTGTTGTGACAGAAGACTGTGCATGATTTGTTCACGTGCACCAGCATCGGGGAGAGGAATGTAAAGCCTTTTCACTAAACGACGTCTTGCGGCTTCATCAATCTCCTGAGGCCTTTGAAAAGCAATAGAAATATGAAATTGTTTCGATGTTGTCCCTTCGTCCTTTACTTAACTAG